GAAATCTAATAGTTTGTGTACACATGAGTTTCTTCTAAACTGACTTAATTCCTGCCCATTTTAGGCAATTAATTAATTAGCACAACTACTCTTTTAATGCTGTTACTAAATTACCCATTTTAATGATTAGCTTAGACTCTTTTTACTCTCTATAGCCCCTTTCTCATTAAACTAGCAACAGTGTTTAAGCACACATACTTTCTTTTTTCTTTTGTTTTATGTGTATGCATGTTTTGCCTGCATGTATGTCTATTTACTTCATGCATTCAGTGCCCACAGAGACCAGAAGAGAACATCAAGTTCCTGGGGACGAGATTTACACATGGTTATGAACTACCTTTGCTGGGGATTGAACCCAGGTCCTCTGGAGAAGGAGCTGGTGGTCTAAGTGCTTCATCTCCAGCCTGTGTGCATGCTTTTTTTTTTTAAAGGTTTGCAGATTATAATTCTAATTTTAGAATTATCAGGGCTTCCTGGAACCAGTCTCCCACATTCCCTAGGAGGTACCAAGAGATGACTGCTTTTAAAGAGGCAGTATTTTTTATTCTTCCAAAATAATGTATATAAAGTATATGAATATTATTTAAACCTTTGTTAAAAGCATCTGATCAGTAGGTCTTAGGACATAGTGGGGTGAGCTGAGCAAGGTAAATGGTTTTCACATGGATTTGTTTAATACCAATTAAATATTCTAGACTCTACAATAGCAAATACATTAAGACATAAGCTTTCACAGAGTGTTTGAGAATGCCATTCAGAGCGTAGTGGGTGCAAACACTTAAGCTAACGTACTCTGAAAATAATCACTTTACTATCTGCCCCATGTACTGTCTGCATTTGCCCCAGCCTTTTGTTTTATTGTTGGGTAATCTAATTATAAATTATCCATCTGTAGAGTGGTAGCAGCTCACTGGAGTTGGTGCGGGGGGCTATGGACATGTGATGTGTGTCTGGGCACTCCCTCTTAGTTTCTGTGTACACTTTCACAGTCAACTTGCTGTGATGTTTTCAATAGGCTGTAAGTGCTGGAATGTTTATGAATTGTTCTGAATTATATTCTCATATTTTGCACTAAAACTATTTGCTTAGTTTCTGAAACAGAGAGAAATTCATGTAAAACCTAAAAATGATGCCTGTTACATCACACACACTAAAATCATAATCCATATGGCCTGGCATGGTGGCATACACTGATAATTTTAATGCCAGCACTTGGGTTACTGAGGCAAGGGGGTCATGGTTTGGGACCACACCAAGGGCCTATCACAGCAAAACAAAAGAAAATAACAACAGAAGTACCCGAGGATCCAAAGCAAAGCAGACAGTAACCCATGAATCTACTGCCCTATTTCAGAAATATAAGCTATGGAGGGTAACACTGACTTTGAGTCAGTGCTTTTGTTCATCTGTTAAAAATGACGGGATGCAGTTAATGAATGTGAGGTAATTAGGTAGCTTTATCCAGCCATCTTGGGTCTATCAGATTTATCTAGTTCCCTAGAAGTGTTGGGTTTATGTAGTAAGTTTGTGTTTAGAGATGGCAGTCGAAGCAAATTCTTAGTTTTGTTATTGATTGAAATTGAAGTCATATCATCTAGTTAGTGACTCCTTCTTTACTGTGCAGGGCTGATAAGACTTATGTGAGCACATTAACCCTCTGCAGTGTGACATGATACCTTTGAAATTCTGATAAATTATGAAAAGTATGGATGGTTTAATAATACCATATTTTTGTATCTAAAAATATCTATCAAAACATTTCTTACAGTTTCTGCAGACTTGGGTAATGACATCGTAAGTTTCTATCCTTGCCAGAGTTGTGTTCTATCCTGAATGAATAGCTAACATACTGATTCTCTCATTACTGTGATGCACATCAACAGTTATTTTTAAACATTTTATTATTTGAGAATTTCATACATGAATGTGTTTTGTAAGGTTCATTTATCCTTATTTTATGTGTGTGAATGTCTTGCCTGCATACGTGTGTGTGTGTGTGTATATATATATATATATATGTATGTATGTATGCATGTATGTATGTATGTATGGTTTCACCACCACGTGCAGTGCTTTTATGGATCAGAGGAGGGCATCAGATTCCCTGGAACTGGAGTTACAGAAAGCTATGTGCTGGGAATTGAACCCCAGTCATCTGGAAAAGCAGGCGGTGCTCTTAGTCACTGAGCCATCCCTTTAGCTCATGAATTTGTTTTGATCAATGTCTCTCCTCTCTTCCCTCCAGCTCCTCTCATGCCCATGCTACTGCTTTCCCTTCAAATTTCATGGATTCTTAAAAAAAAACCCTCACTGAGTTCACTTAGTGCTGCTAGTCTATGTGTAGGTATAGAGCATGGACAGCATCCAAAGAAAAGTGGTTCTCCCCCTCACAGCATCCATCAGTTGCCAGTAGTTCCTCAACGAGGCCCTCCCCCAGTCTAAACTGAATTTTTGCTGGCTTGATTTTGTGCAAGTCTTGTCAGTAGCTACTGTGAGTCCCTGTGTGTTACATCCCTGTCATAATTAGGAAACACAGTTTCACAAACATCCTCCATCACCCCCGACTCTTACATTCCTACCACATCATCTTTTAAGATGACCCATGGCATTAGCGGAAGGGCTATGATAAAGATATCTCATTTATCTCTCATTATCTGCATGTTGGCCAGCTGTGAGTCAGTATTGATCACCATCTAGTGCAAAGAGGGCTGACAGCATCTGATCTGTGGGTATAAAGATAAGTTTTAGGGGCTGTTTAGTACTATGCTCAATTAGCAGAATAGAAGAAGTTGGTTTTCCCCTAGGACCTACCCAACTAGTTAATAGTACCAAGCATGAGTTTTATCTTGGGGAACAGGTCCTAACTCCGACAAGTCATTGGTTGTCCCCACAGCACTCGTGCCAGTGTTATACCAACGGGCATATCTTGCCAGGCTAGTCCTCATTGCACTTCACAGTTCATAATTAGGTAAGATTGTTGATGACTTCTCCAGGAATAGCATACACAGCACCTTCAGTACTATGGAAGGTAGGCCATAGGGACAAAGTATTCAGGTCAGCGCCAGCTTGATTCTTCAGTGTCTTAATTACTCAGCTATATGGTGTTTTCAGTAATAAGTTCTTACCATTAAGTTCTGGAAGGTAACCAAATTAATGACAATAGCCTATATTGTTTTGGGGAGTGTATAGGACACAACTGGCCAACAGATTGAACCCATACCTGACACTGGGCTTTTTGTTTGATAGTCTGCTATGCCCTAGTATTTATAGTGTAAATTTTTATCCTATAAATAGTTAATAGGGTAATCCATTTAAACTCATATATACGTGCATATGTATATATGTATGGAAGCCTCTACAGTAGTAGGTTTCTATGTGGGTTTAAGCCCCTGCTCTACCGTGCCCTCCCACCTCCTACCCTGCATCAATTCCTGACCTATCATCTCATATGTTTGTACTTGTTTGTTACAATTATTAGGATGCTATAATGCCACAAATATTTTGGAGAGGGAATGATGATACCTGGGATGTAGTAAAAATGGTTTTGTTATGATGGTTCCCACCATAAATGGATTGCCTTACCTTGTATGTGCTTTTCTATTTGCTTAGACTTTCCAGTGTTCTAGAAACATCCATATTGAGATGCATTTTCATGACTATATTTACAGATTGTAAAAGCATTTTTTGTTTTGTTTTTTGAGACAGGTTTCTCTGTGTCGCTTTGTAGACCAGGCTGGCCTTGAACTAATAGAGATCTGCCTGCCTCTGCCTCCCAAGTGCTGGGATTAAAGGTGTGCAGTCTTTATTTGAAATTAGCTTAATGTAAATGTGTTTGTGAATGTTCTCAGGTGTCTTAATCTCTTGAAATTTTCCTCTACTTCCCATGTAGTGTTCAGGGGACTTTTATTGACTCTTAATTTCTAAGTAATTTCATTGTTTCTAGTTGGGCTACTAAAGAACTAAAAGCTGTCATACTTTGTTTCCATAATTATTGAAGTATTCTGAAATAAACTGAAGGCTCTCTATGCTCTTTGACCTAGTGATGTTACAATTGTTTTGAGTTCTTAATAAGCCAGTTCTTTTAGTGTTTTATCACATAACACCCCCAGAATTAATGTTTATCATCAGTAAATAAAAGCATTTTGATTTTAATTTTTTCTTTAACTTTCAGGCCACACATGCTTAATAACCTTGACAGTTTTGCATGCGATGCTATTACTCATTGGCTAGTTGACTTAGCCAAAGAAGAGTAAAGAAGAAAATATACGCAACCACAGAGAAACTTCTAGTTTGTTAGAATGCCCAGGAGGAATGGATACAATAAATTGAATAGTGTTCTTTGTTTGACATGCTATCATTGTCTTTAGGCTATGTTAGGAACCTTAACAAAACAAGAAGAAAGGAGATTGTATGGAGTGGTATTCTCGATGCACATAATTCTTTCGAAACTATTTGAAAACTAGAAAATTCATAGCACCGAATGGTCACTTTTCTGAAAGTGTGGGGAAATGTAGAGACTTTTTCCATGCTTAGAATGGGAGTTTGGAGAAAGGGAAATCATTATTTCTTGTGCTAGGTCTAGCATGCTTTTCTAGCTAACAATGAAATCAGGAAGCTAGAAATACTAACTAGATTGCAAAAGTAGAACAAAGACCCCAAACTGAATCCCCTTCCTTCTAAGTAAAATTGCCATAGAGATGGAACATTCTAATTTAACCCTTGGCCTAAAGGTGTTTTTGTTTGTACTTCCCATGAAAATGAGTTGGCAAAATGTTATAAAGGGAGGGGCATACCAGCAACCCAGCGGTGGGGCAGAGAATGAGGCTCCCTTGGTAGAGAGCTTGCCTAACATGCATAATTACCTCAGCACACATCTATGATCCCAGTACTTGGGAGGAAAAGGACAGAGGATCAGAAATTCAAGGTCATTCTTGTTTATCTAGTGAGTTTCAGGTCAGTCTGGGATACCTGGGATTCTGTCTCAACAAACATAGATAGATAGATAGATAGATAGATAGATAGATAGATAGATAGATAGATAGGTAGATAGATAGGTAGATAGACAGAGTTAGAGAGACAGATGGCAGCTAACTAGCTAGATGATAGATAGATAGATAGATAGATAGATAGAAAGATAAAAAGAAAGAACATTGAACCTTTGACTAGATTGATAACAAAAGAAGAGGAGATGGTTAAAGATGACTCGCCTTTCAAACAGATCTGAGTCAGGAATAGTTCACAGCTTTTATGAAGGATAAGCTGCAGTTTTGTTCTCAGGGAAATCCTTTCTTGTTTTGTTTTCTCCAGTGAAAAAGAGGTAGGAAGATGTCCTCACTGGTCACTAGTAGTGTCCAGAGCTAGCATAACCTCTGCCTGAAAAGATTCTGTACTTCTGCAGTGATATGCTCATAGCCAAATTGTAAATCTTATTCTTTTGTAATATTAAGATAAATCTATTTATATTTATTTATATCAGTGAACATCTTGGTTTCAAATGTGTATTAATAAGATATGTAATAAAAATCATTTCCTTTAAATAGAAATAAATGATCACTATTGTCTCATGTAATATTTGAAATTTCTTAAATGTGAATTTTTTTATTTCTAGATAAGAGATTCATTTTCATCTCCTTAAGTAGTAAAGATGTTGTCTTTTGATTATCCTCACATGAATTATTTTCAGTTCCTTTGAAATTGTGGCTTCTCAGCTGGGCGGTGGTGGTGCACGCCTTTAAGCCCAGCACTCGGGAGGCAGAGGCAGGCGGATCTCTGTGAGTTCGAGGCCGGGCTGGACCGATAGCCTCCAAAACAATACAGAGAAACCCTGTCTCGTAAAACCAAAAAAAAAAAAAAAAAAAAAAAAAAAGAAATTATAGCTTCTCAGGCATGTCATCTTCTAATATTTTTCTGTTTATTGATTCATCTAAAGATACTACATTAATGTATAGGCTTTGAATGTAGTCTTATCATTTCAGTTGTATTTTAATTGTAGACTGTCCTATAATATACATGTAGTGAGGCTAACAACAAGTATGAATCCATTGCTCCCTCTGTTTTCTTGGTCTTGATGTTGAAATGCTTTCAAGTGAATTCCACATGCAAAGACTTTAGCATGCAACTGGAGCAAAGGGCATTTGTTTCTAACAAGCTACTATCATCAGAATTAGTTTCAGCGGGGCGGTGGTGGCACATGCCTTTAATCCCAGCATTCGAGAGGCAGAGGCATGGCTGGGCTGGACCAACAGCCCCCAAAACAATACAGAGAAACCCTGTCTCGTAAAAACCAAAAAAAAAAAAAAAAAAAAAGAATTAGTTTCTAGTGTTAGGCATTCTCTAAACTCTCCTAGAGGTGATGAGAGTATGTATGCTCATGCCCACTTACACCTGCATGCGTTAAGTTTGCCTGATGTTTCCTAGAATAGCAGAAATAACAGTGATTTGGTTATGCAAACATTTCTCAGCGTGCCTCCATGCACGCATTACCTTGTAGTGCTCAGGTTATCAATATAATCATAATGTAATGTCTGTCCTCAAGTCACTTGTAGTTTAACAATGAAGATTCTATTCTTGCAGAGTGTAAGAATATAGACGTCATGTATACCACACACACATGCAGGGTAGAATACTTAAGCTGTATTTTTGAAATGCATGGGAGGAAGGGAGAGAGGGATTCACGGTCTGATTCTGAATGAGAGGGGACAGGTAAATAAAGTCATGGCTGAACTGAGAATGCGGGCCCAGCACGATGGTCTCAGAAGCAGACTACAGAAGCACAAGTGTTCACTTTAGCAGTAACAATTTCCAACTCTGGACTCTGCAGTTCCAGCTGATCAAATTGAACATTAATGAGGATTGGTTTACAATCACAGACATTTCAGATATTAAGAAATACTGAACTTTGACAACAAACTTTTGGATTTTTTTTGAGGCAAAATCTCCCTGTCAAAGTCATGATCCCCTTGCTACAGCCTCCTGAATGCTAAGATTACATGCATTCAGTACTAGGTTTGGCTTCAATCATAATATTTGACTACCCATGAACAAAATATCTAAAATCGAGCATGATTATGTTGAAACACTTCATGCTCTTCTGAGACGTATTAACAATCTTATTTGAGCACTGTGATTCTTAAAATATTTCACTGGTGTTTCCTTAAAGAAGTCCAGAAAACAACATGGTCATGTTGAACTTAGGCACAAGGACACCATGAACAACGCAATCCATTCTCTTTTTATTTTCTTCTTTAACTTGCATTAGAACTACTATGTCTCACCAGTGTGAATGAACTAGGTATAAAGTTGCTCCTATTTCTATTAACTGTGTTACCTAATTTTTTCCCCCTCAAGGACTTGTTGCTGGTATTGTAGTGATTGATATCATAATTATAGCCAAGACTTCTTGGACCCTTTTAAAATCAGACAGAAGCTCTGACTTCCAAGGAAAGAAGAGTGATATCCCAGTGTGAGAAGAGAGCAAAACCCCACCCTTTCTCCATCTGTCCACTCTGTGTGGGTGGGTGTACCATGGATTAGATGATGGCTGCCCATGCTGTGAGGTTGATCTACTTTATTTACACTACTGATGCAAACGTTTACATCCATGATCTAGAAACATTCCAAGACTCACACAGAAGTAATGTTTTACTAGCGATCTGGGAAGCCCTTTTGTGAGTACAAGGTGGCATATGAAGTTAATAATTATCACCCCCCACACATACCTGCCTTGGAAATGTTAGGGAAATTGAGGGCCTTAAGATTATTTCTAAATGTCCTTTCTTCAGTGAATGAGATTAGGATGCCTTGGACAAACAGCCGATGTCAAAGCGGGAACAGGAAAAATAGATGAGCATGAGAGATCTTCCCAAGTATCAGAAATGAAGGGTTTCAGAAAATAAGTACTTAAAAATGATAGTATGTTCAAAGGACAGCATGGACAAGCCCCTGCCAATCAAATTCGAGATACTTCAAGCCAACACACTGGTAAGAGATTATAACTTACGGAATTGCAGAATAGTTTGAGTTCGTGCTATATAAATGAACGAGCAAAAAAGGTGAGCTCTTCTATCAGCAGAATTCTAGCTAATACCTGGAGGAGATAGACACTTAGAAAAATGAGCATGGGCAGAAGCACAGCAATAGTGATGTCGGCAAGAATCGTCCATGGATGCTCGAGGTAGCAGGGGAAATCGGATGAGACTCAGTGTGTAGTTTTTAATTTTCTATCTCACAGCACACTTAGCTCTCACACATGACACGTCTGAGAAGTTCTGAATATCAAAACTTGATATTTACTGTTTTAACCAGTTATCATTGTGCCCCTAGCAGTGGGTAACATAACAGTTCCTTTGAATATGGCAAATAAGAACTTGGCATCTTTTCTATGGTATTGTCATAGAATGCACAAATTCCTAAAAATACACAAATAACAGATTCAAGTTATGAGGGAGGTTCAGAAAAAAGTAACTTGGGGACATTCTACAAAGTAGTGCACTTGCATTTTCCCAGGGTGATAGGCTCATAGGAATGGAGTAGAAGAGATAAAATAAGTTGATTATTAAGAAGGAAGGCTGGGATGTGGCCCAGATGGTAGTGACCAAGATCAGCCATATCAGCGTTCTTGACAGGGTCCTGAGGGGGAGGACCAGGGATGGAAAAGAAATAGATGATGAAAGGAAGGAAAGAGTTATTAACAGCTGGGGACAGGAGGGCTGTAACAGCCAATAAACCAGGCAAGCAAGTTTATTAGTAGAGTGGGGTTTTTTTGTACCCCTCAAATGGAGAAGCAGAAAACAAATCAGTAAAGAACATCGGATAGCAGAAACACAGGAACTCAAGATACCTCAAGTTCCCCTTTAGTGAGGTACGCAGTTCTGGATTAGCAAACAAAGCATTTGACACACACGGATGGGGGAAATGCCAAGGGCTAGTTTCTAGGGCTAGTTTCTAGACCACGGCCCCCAGCCCTTGGGGCACTTGAGCCAGTCCACAGCTGCCCTTGTGTGTGTGTGACAGGAGCAAAATGCCCACATTCCATCATCAGGATCTCTTCACAGTCTCCAGTCCAGTCTCCCCCAACAGAGAGAGTGCTTGTCTGGCATTCATGAAGCCTTTGGTTTAATCCCCAGTGCCCTATGAATTGGTGCAGTGGTGCATACACTCAGGAGGTGGAGGCAGGAGGATTAGAAGTCTGAGGCCATCAGTTACATAGAGAATCTGGGTACACGAGAATGTTTTTCTTTCTCCTTTTTTCTTTTAATGAAAGTAGGTTGGGGGGAGAAATGAAGAAATCCAGGAACCCAAGAGCAATATTCTCAGACACATAATAAAGACAAAATAATCAGTATTAGTGATAAAGTAGAAGATAGCACTCTAAAGTAACGCCTGACAGGAAAGATAATAAGATTAGCAACTTTAACTTATTTAATGCACAAATTCATAAAAAGACACAAATTATTATTCCTTGTCCAGTAATCAATACAATCCCTGGGTAGCCCTGCATCAATTCAACAAATTTTATATCAGCTCTTTTTTTTCTTTTTTGAGATAGATTCTCACTTATTAGCCCAAAATGGCCTGGAACTCTCAGTAATCCTGATTCTACCACCCAAGATGTAGGACAATAGGTATAAGCTACTGTGCCTAGCAAGAATTAAAATTTTATTTAGAAACCTATTCAGAAAAAAATTTTCCTCAAAGCTTGGCTTCTAAATTCTGATGTTTATAGAAGAAGTGACACCAGTTCTTGCAAACTCAGAGTCTGCATCCAAACTGAGAGAGGGAGAGAGAGGGAGAGAGAGACAGAGACAGAGACAGAGACAGAGACAGAGAGAGATGGGGGGAGGGAGAGAGCACACAAGCTACAGACCCTCACAGATATGACAAAAACCTTGACAAAATTTTAGCAAAGCAAATCTGATGGGGGAAGTCCTTCTGTGTATATGTTTGTCTCATTGGTTGATAAATAAAGCAATGATAAATGGCCAATAGGGAAGCAGGATAGGTGGGACTAGGAGAGGTGGAGGATTCTGGGAAATGGAGGTACAGTCAGTCACCATGTAGGATGCGAGAGGAGTAAGAGGTCTGGACCCTTTCTCTGGTAAGAGAAGACCATGTGAAAATACTCAGATTAGCAGTTATGGGTCAATAATTAAGTCAGTTAGCCAATAAAAAACCATAACAAGTGGGCAACAGCTTCATAATTAATATTAGTGTCCTGTGTGTTCGTTTGGCACTGATGCGGCTCTGGGACCAGACTGGCTGGAAGAATGCTGGTTACACAAATCAAATGGTATAGCTGAGTCCTCCATAGTGGGCATCAGTCATGCCCAACAACAGACTGATACCCTTACATCCCCAAGGAGACAGTTGCCTCCATTTGCGTTAAGGACCCTTCAGTTTTCCCAGCAGCCATGAGTTAGTTACCCAGTGATGAAATAGTGGCTCAAGTGTCTTAGGGGTTGACATCTGACTGATTAGATTTAAAGCCTGCTCACTAGGAGGAGGGAACTCATACCTTGTGCTATGAATCCTGTCAAAAGCCTGTTGCCCAAATGTTACTATTCCAGCATGGTTGGGTAAAGACTCAGGGTCCCATTCCTACTTGGGAGGCTGTGAGCAGTTCCTGAGGGGGAAAGTAGGTTTTTTTCTTCTTGATTTGATCACTGATAGGTTGCCTGTGTTCGGATGGTCTGCACTGAACTCTTGTGCATATGGGCAATACTGACTGGAGTGAGTGGGTTACATATTTTAAAAACATGAGAAGGGGGGGCTGGAGAGATGGCTCAGAGGTTAAGAGCACTGGCTGTTCTTCTACAGGTCCTGAGTTCAATTCCCAGCAACCACATGGAGGCTCACAACCATCTATAATGAGATCTGGTTCCCGTTTCTGGCCTATAGGCACACATGCAAGTATAACACTGCATACATAATAAATAAATCTTTTAAAAAGTGAGAAGAGAACCTGAATTTGAAAGGCAGGTGGCTGGAGAAGTCAGGGGGTAGTGAGGGGTGGGGATGATAAAAATACATTTTTTCAATGTATAAAATCCTTGAACAATAAGAGACTATGGAAGAAAGGAACTAGATCCCATTCATCACCGGTAAAGCACTCAACTCCAAATGGATACTCTAATACTCTGAAACTGGTAGAGCAGAAACACAGGATGTCATAACAAAAACTTCCACATGATACCCTATGAAACCAAAACGCTCCTGTGCAGCCAGGAAACGATCAGCGGTAGAGGCAGCCTATAGAATGGGAGAAAGCACTTGTCCAGCTATGCTGCTGACAACTTTAGTCGCCAGAATGCATAGGAACTCAAAACAAAACAAAAAGCAAAACAACCCCCCCAAAACCAAAACAACAACATCAAAAAACCCCCAAAGCACCAGGAAAACAAAGAACTCAATTGAAAAATAGGCTATAGCACTAAATAGAGTGCCAGAAAGAAAATCAAATCAAAACATCTAGAAAACACTTTGGAAGTATCCAATGTCATTGGCCATCAAGGAAATGCAAATTAAAATGGTCTTGAGGCTCCATGTCACTCCAGTCAGAATGGCTGCCACCAAGAAGTCAAATGACAACAAATGGCAGTGAGGTCGTGGGAAGGAGGAAACCTTATTTATTGTTGATGAGAGTGTAGGCAGGCCCCACCTCTCTGGAGAGACAGCAAAGGTGAATGTAGAACTCTGAAAAGGCAGGTGACACACTAAACATCAGAGTCACAAAGGAGAGCTGTCACGAAAGGAATGGCGCTGCTCACGAACGCTCGGCCCTGTTCAGAACAGGATGAGGCACCGGGCATCCAGGTGAAGCATAGGCGACTGTGTCATCAATTCGCCATCACTGTAACAAAATGACTGAAATAATCAAATGCAGAGAGAAGAGGCTTATGATGGCTCGTAATCAATTGATGCTGTTGCTTTGGCCATGTGGTAAGGCAACATGTGCTGGTGAGAACACATACTGAAATGAAGTCATCCACCCAAAAAAGAGAACCCAGGATCCCACATTCCCTTGGAGGCACACCCTCAATGACTTAGAGCAATTACTAGGACTGGTTTCTCTCTCTCTCTCTCTCTCTCTCTCTCTCTCTCTCTCTCTCTCTCTCTCTCTCTCTCTCTCTCTCTCTCTCTCTCTCCTCTCTCTCTCTTCTTTCCTTTTTTAGTTTTTTTTTTTTTGGTTTTATGAGACAGGGTTTCTCTGTATTGTTTTGGAGGCTGTCGGTCCAGCCCGGCCTCAAACTCACAGAGATCAACCTGCCTCTGCCTCCCGAGTGCTGGGATTAAAGGCATGGGCCACTACCGCCCGGCCCCTTCTTTCCTTTTTTAAAAATTAAATTAGAAACAAGCTTGTTTTACATGTCAATCCCTGTTCCCTCTCCCTCCCCTCCTTCCCTGCCCCCCACCGACCCCCTATCCCATCCCCTTTTTGCTCCTCAGAGAGGGTGAGGCCTTCCATGGGGGATCTTCAAAGTCTGTTATATCATTTAGAGCAGGACCTAGATCTTCTCTTGTGTGTCTAGACTGAATGGGCTCCCAAAGT